CATCAATTTACTCGAACTCGCACACGGTAAATATGAGAATGATATGAGAATAGAACCACACTCACATGAAAAATGTAAATCCGCTGGCTAGACCTCTTGCTAATATGACAAATTAAAAATATTTTCTGTTGTATATTTCTTGACACAATTATGGTTATGCTATTGTACATATCTATTGCACATAGGTCTATTGGCTTATGTTATAGCTCTTTTTAATGTAGCGTACTTTCACAATCATCATGACCAAATCGACTTTAGATCTATTTGAATGATATGAGTTCAATAAATAAATTTTATTATATTGTACTCTAAAGATAAACTGCAACAGATGTATTTCTTATTTTCCCAGGCTTGAAGTAGTTCCTGTTATTATTACTTGTTTGAAGTTTTTAACATTTAAATGTCAGAGTATATTGTATGTTGCAATTCGTCTGAATACCAATTGAAGAGAATAAAATTCAAATAAAAAGATTTTCTTAATATTTTTATAATATTTATGGCTTTTAATAATATTTTATGAGAAAGAATAAAGGTCATTCCTAAATATAAAAGACTTTTCTATTAAGAATCACGTCCGATGAAAGACCTTTTTAAATGAAATTCAGTGTCAGAAAATGTTAATAAATAATAAATGAATTTTATAGACATATCTTATTGCAACTTTATTAGAAATCTATATCAACGTAAATCATGTCAAAGATTACAACTATCTTTTAATTTACAATAGGTGGAAAGCATCGAAACCTACAGTGTGAGAGTTGAACCCACTCGGTAGCTTTAAAGCGGTAGACTGTAGATGATTTCAAGAAGAATTTATAAGTACTGGCAAGTTGAAGTTAATGTATTCAAAAGCCGATTGAATTTCTTGAGAATTAAATTCATTAATTATATTTACTAAATAATAAAACTGGTTTTATTATAATAATATGAATAGGTATAAGCGTGGTAGAACCCTGAAATAGTACATCATACGCGCTGGAACCTACGCTGGAAACTTATTTGACTCACCTAAGTTACACCTGAATAGTATGCATAAGAACTTTTTCTTTTTATAGTAAATAGTAGATTAATGTTCGTTAGAGATATTGTCATCCTTTGTGACAGGTTTCTAATTGTATTCTTCTTCATAAAATAATTATATATTCTTTAGTACAAGTGAGGTATTTGTGTTAATTCTATCAATCGTAAACGAATTTAGTCCAAACTTCTGAAAGGAAACTATATAAATCGCTTGTAAGTTTATTTCTACCATAGAGCTCTGAGGTATGGACGCTCAAAGTTCAATACCGCATGCAGTTCATTATCTTTAAACGAAAAATAGTAAAGAAATTTTATATATCTCTGAAGCTTGAAGATAACTTATTATTATAAAGATACAATTAACGATAAAACTAAAATAGAACAACTGTTTAACTACAGAACTGCTCTTTATTTTGACTTGTTTGTTTTTAATTTATTTACATTTAGTTTATTGTGTAAAATCTATCAAATATGTCAAATTAAATCTTTTAGCTTTTGGAAAATATATTTTGCAATATTGCCTTTGATATTTTTGACGTAATTTCTCTTAATTTATTTTCAATTAAGTTAGAAAGCACAAAAGCTTTTTGTATGGTTAATCAACTTCATTAGACATCTAAATCAAATAAACTGCTTTAATTAGGGCAATGGGAACATACTATTACATCGCATGCATACTATTATATCGCATTTCATCAAGTAAAGGAGAAAAAGACTGAAAAATATTCTCATCAATAATATTTTAAATATATAATATATACATAAAAATATAAATATTAAATATTTAGAATATATCTTACTATAAGCAACATTTATATTTTAATGAGTATCAGAAACGTGTTGACCCAAATAGTTTATATGTCAGGAAATAATTATTAAAAAATTTCGATTATTAAAAAAAATATTTTTCCCACATATCGTAATTAATAATAAAATAATTTGCCTCAAAGACAGAGGTGTACTAGACAAGGAAATTCTTAAAAAAAAACAGACTTGAAAAGAATGATGAAAGTATATTTAGTTTACAGAAAAAATATATATTATTATGCAATGTCTCTACACAATCCGAGCCTCTGCTCAAAATATTTATGTACAACGTGCTTCTAAATTTCTTATCCATACCCACTCAATTGCAATTAAATCAACTTCAGCTTAAAACCAGCTTAGAGCAAAAAAAAAATAAATAAATTATATGAAAAAAAATAAATCTCAACGTAATTATGTAGGCACCTCACATACGTTTGAGCTCGTATGACCACACTGTGAAATAGACCTGAGACACTCCATCAGTCATTCATGCACAGAATGGATTACGGTTGTTCACGTTCATAATTACAAGTTAATACGGGAGCAGTTGTTTGTTGGTTCTTGACTGTTGGTTGTTGATTTTATTTTCCATTTCCATTTCTGTTTTCCACATTTGTTGTCTCTTATGGCAATTGCGTTAACATATTTTGTTACTATTAAGCGCATTTGTTACTGTTAGGCCTGGAGTCATGACATTATTTCTAGATCAAACGCATCCGACTATGTAATGATGGCTAAGCTACTGTTTCAACGGCTTCATTCACGGCTAATTCTTCTTCTTACAACAGGAAATCTCGATTGTTTCTTGTTTAGTTGAAATTTTTAATTGCCGTCACGGCATGTTTTTGTATTAGTTGTGATAGATGATTTGTTTTGGGTTTAGCGTCGGATTAAGATAAGAAGAAAACAGATTTTAGACCAATAATTTAAACCTAAATCACGCATCAAAATAATTAAACTACAATCGATTTATGAATGAAGAAACTTGTAATGAACATATTATCAACCGTTGATAGCTGGAATAGCTCACGTTTTGTCCAGAGGTGTTACAAGAGCCCTGGATCTTTTTGTAGTATAAATTGAAAGAGTTACGGTTTTGTTTTAATTTTTATTTTACAAATATTTTTTTAAATATTTACAAGTTAAAGTAGACTTAATTATACTTATGAAATATTAAAAAGAACTTATTACAAACAAGTAATAACAGTTATAATAGTTTCAACAAACAATTATTGGAGTTTGTGGTTAACGTTACCGATATAGCCACGTTGGTCCTAGTATTTCAATATTCAATGTTTTTATTTCTACAGCGACCTGATGTAAGCGGCTATATTGATATAGATTTAAGTACATAATTTAGAGGGAAAACTATCTATACTATTCTTGCGTTCTAAGTTTCTGGTATAATAGACCAATTGGATATATTACGGATATATGAATTTCTCACTTCTAGATTCGATGTGCATGCCATCGGAGCAGGATGATTCTTCAAATGTCGAATGCTTCGAGTACTTCCTGGAGACATATCATCCATATACCATAGTTTGAATTCATATTTACATTTTCATATCAAGAGCTCATGTTTGGCAATTTTCCATGCGATGGTTATAGGCACAAAGTTGGGGCTTGGTAGGAATTGCCTCCCATTTGTTAACTAAGCTCACCTTTTACCCTTTTTTATAGAGAATCGCTTGTTACAAGACCAACATCTGATTAATCTGTCATAATATTTTCTACTTTCATTTATTTTTTTAATATTCCGTATTGCTTCACATTATTGGTATATAAATTTTACATTGTTTAACACAAATTTATTTAAATTTTCAAAATATCTATAACGGCTTTTAGAGATTAAAACTTATCTTTCGTTGCCGTTACAAGCAGTGTTGCATTTTCTCGTAATTTAAAATTAGAAAATTTGTAAATAATATTAACACATTTATTAATAATTAATTTGAAAATTTTCTTTTTTAGTAAATAGATTTCAAAATATAACAAAAAAAAATTGTATATCTTCAATATTTATAATATGCATATTTTTACGCATATTTATATTTTAACTTTAATTAAAATCAATTTTATTGGGACAATAAATATGTTTGATTGTTCTAAACCTTAAGTGTCCTTTACAGATTTTTTTAACATTTAATTAAAATAATACTGATTAACCATTGTGATCATTTTATATAAAAACTACCATTTATTACTGTACCAATTAATTGTGTTAATGTAAACATACTTCAAATCTTTCATACTGGAATTTATTCGTTTTAAATACAATACAACTATCTTACAATATCTTAATTTAGTTTCATATATTCTTTTATGTAAATCAATGTACATAATTTACAGTAATTTTTATTTTGAGTTCAATTATTAAGTAATTATAATATGACTACGATTTAAGAGAAACCATGCTTTAGACGAGAGATTTTGATAAAATCAGCTATATAGCTATAAATCTCAATATAGCTTAATTCTCGAGGATTAAATTTCCAAATCTGAAGTACAATTTGGTATGTTAATTACTAATAGATGCCGTTACTAAAAAGTTTTGTTTTTATTATGTATATATTGTATTTAATATAATAACTATTAGCTTTAAAGCATAACACCTCGAAAATGTAGCTACAGTGGTATAAAATAAAGTGAAAAAGTTCTTCAAAATATAAAAATTCACTAAAATTCGTAACCAAATCGAGGGGCACAAGAAATCGTAATCATTCCTTTACTACAGCTGATGTAGATATAGTAGTTATAATAAAAGTTCTTCTTAAAAAATGTGATACATAATTGCAGTTATATACAGAAACAACCGATCTATTCCACTTTAACAACTGTGTATAAATAGGTAATAAACCGATTCTTTACCGCATTATGTGTAAATAATATAATATTAAACCACTGAGATAAAATTGTTTTGGAAGACCGTAGGAGTGTCCAGAAGTGAAATTAGAGAACGATCTCTAATATACTACTATTTTGAAAATGATTCCTTCTACTATGAACGTAATTCTATATATAAGAATTGATAAGTATATATAAATAATATTTATTTTTTATTAAATGACATCAATATGCAAGAACACTAACGTCGCCTTTTTCATCTACAAACCCGCCTTCTTCCATATAATAGAAGAAAAAAACAGATCTATATTACAAATATACACTTATATTATGCATCAAGAACACACCAATAATTCTAAAATAAACTACATAACAAAATTTTTATTTTATCTACTGTGCATATAAAAGTCAATAGCAGATGAGAATGCGGCAAAACCTAAAGCACCAACAAGACCAGCTTTTATACCAGCGCGTAAGCCAATTAATCCACCAGTAACAGCACCAGCGTAAGTACCATTACGCCAATCAGTAACACCACGATGCTATAAAGAATGAATGAAAATAATAATAAATTTAATAGTTGTTAAATATTTTAGACTTTAAAAATTTAAAAAAATACTAACACTTTCAATGGCACACTCCACGCCGGAAAACACACAACCAATCATAGCAAAATTTTTGGCATAAGAATGTGTGGTGGTGCGCATTTCACGAAATATTTCACGCGCTGTTTGCTTCTTTTCATTTCCAAATGGATCAGACATGTTTGGATTTACTGAAGCGCTAAACAAACCAATTGCAGCACCAAGACCGTAACCTGTTAGAAAAAGTAAAAGTTTTTAATAATTTTAAATAATTTATTATTAAAAATTATAGTGTTTTGCTCGTACCCATAACGCAGGCAGTGATTGATTTGAAAATACAACTTTCAACTGCATTTTCTATCATTTTTTCTTCATTACTTTTGATTTTAACAGGTCCATTGCCTTTAGGTATAACTATATTTTCACGATATCTGTAAATAAGTGAGCACACGTATTGTTATAGATAAATAATAATTTTTGAAACAATTCTTGAATTTTACCTGTGCATATTACCAATAAAATGTTTTGCCACTTCATCTAATTCTTTATTATCAAAGAATTGTGGTTTGGGGTTTTTATCTGCTGCTGGTGGGATTAACGACATTTTGTTATAATTTTAATTAAAGCCTTTCAAATTTTATTGAAAATTGTTCTATTATTGTTTGTTAAATAACATGTTCGATAAATGCGGTTGACAGTCCATACAGTTGATGGTTAACACCTGATTGCACTGTTACGCGTTACCAACTATGTTAATTATTTTTAGCAGTTGCTGTATTGTTTAGACATAAATGTTTTATGCTGTTAATTTATTATATTGTTTAATGAATATAGTTTTAACATTTTCTGCAGATTTTGACACATATACATGAAATTTTTTTAATAGCAATATAATGAAATACCAATTATTTATTATCGTATATTGTATAAATATAATAAACGAAGTTTAATTAAATATAATAATTATTTATTGTATGGTTGGCTGTATGGTTAGCCAAAAATTCAATTAATTCAAATAATATACAAATAAATTTTTGTTATTGTTTTGTTATTATTGTAGTTTACATACTATAAATATATATACATATGTATATGGATGTATTATTTTATATACAGTACCATATTGTGAATTATGTAAAACTGAAATAAATTAATTCGATTTAAGTCTTATAAAATTTAATATAAGTATGTACACTTTATGGAAATACCACGTGTTAGTTCTTTGTGAGGAACTGCCTTTTACTGTTTTTACTCTTTGTTTTTATTTACTTTGTTTACATATGTATGTATATAAACAGCTGAACTATTTTTGCCCCCCTATTTCACAGTTCAATTGCAATATAAGCTTTTAGAAAAAATTTCTTCGTGATTATAATAATTTTAATCGCAAAGCTAGTGATAATCTCCACCCGTAGTCACTCAGCTATAACACTTCCAAAGTGCAAACTAATTGACCGTCACACTTCCTTTCTCTTACCAGAAGATATTTTACATGATATCATAAACCTGTGACTTCCTTAAGGTCAACTTACAAAGGACTAATTTTTTTTATATATACAACACAAACATAATCAGTAATGACATGTTTTCTGAAGTCTTCTAATTTAAATTGTCTATATTATATTGCAAAATTGTGGCCATTAGTATATCGCACATAGAGTCTATAAATAATTTATAACCTAACCACTGTTCTCCTTTTTCTTCATCCTCTTCACTAACTAAAACACTTTTTGAATGCTGCTCAGTTTATATCTCCCATAAAAATCATATGAACTTTCCTCCTTTTCTCTGGAGGACTTTGGTAAAATTGCTACCATTAGTTTTTATGTAATTAGCTTGCACTCTACAGTAAATACAAAAATAAAATGCACTATTATCTAATACCTTTATAAACATGTGAACAATATTTGGTAAAAATTTAATTTATTGATATATAATTATATACAATATTAATTTAAATAAAATAAAATTTTGTCATTACAAATATCTTTCATTCGCTTCAAATCAAAGGATTCCAACATATTATTATTTACGCGAGTGCTATATATAATCAACTTTTTTTTAAATCTAATTTTGAAAACGTTAAATATGTTTTCTTTTAAAATAAATGTTTTATTAACGGAATAATAATTTTTTTCTATCACACTTTGGACACAATCGATAACAAAAACAAAAAAAAATACTATCAACTTAAAGAATAAAAATGATTCCGAGAAAATGTGAAGTAACGTGCAAACATAGTGCTTAAAAATAAAGTTATACATAACACTTGTTATATACTTAAATTAAACAATATAATTTATATGTATAAATAGCTGATGTTAACAGTTCAAATCAGTTTTAGCACAATTTTCAATTGAATATGTATAAAAGTAACAAAAAGACACAAACTGCAATTACTGCACCCAAAATAAGAGAATCACGTTTCTTTTTTATATTGATGCGTTGTATTAAACTAAAAAAAGATTGAATTAATAAATAACAATTAAATATAATATATATAAATATAAAGGTATTACCTCGATATAAGTGGAAAACGATTTGATATATCATTGAAACGTGTCTGCAGACGTTTAAAGGCTTGTCGTTGTGATAATAAATGCTCCCTGGTTTCGATAGCAATATTTATTTGATCATTTATCATTTGATTTGAGCTATAATTAAATAAATTAAAAAATTTATTTTTGTTATTTACTAAAAAATTTAATTGAATTAAAAATAATTACTTCGCTACATGTCCACTCTCTTTCAAATACATATCGCGTCTACTTAAGCCTGAATTTGTCGGACTGTTGGTAGATAGTCCCGAGCCACGTAACAACTCTTCACGCTCCATTCTAGTCGTATGATTAGCGCATATTTTATTGAACTCTTGTCTGTAGCCCTGCAAAATTTCTCGATGCCTTTGCAATGTATGCATGGCAGCTGCACCTGTTGCCGGTAGTTCTGACATAGTCTCATTTATCGTAGACAACTAGTATTAAAGAAATTAGTATATTGCACGCAACAAGTTCATCAATTGTACAAATTAATATATATGGAATAACATTATTAAAATATTATTGAACATTATTTACCCTATCTAACATTTGTGCGATTTCTTCAGACAACGAATCGAAGACATGTTCTCCTAACAATGGTGATGTGTCAGCTGTTGTGTTGTGCGCAGTTGAAGTGCCTGCTCCAATTTTACTGAATGCAACTAACTTGAGATCAATTTCATTCTCCAAATGCCGCGCTTGCTTTCGCAATACTACGCATTATAAAGTAGGTTTTATTAATATATATGAAATGTATTTCTTTCAAAAATATGTTTACCATCGTAATTGGAAACACCCATCATTTAACAAGTCTATAGCAAACGAAAAATTTTTACTGATTCACTTTTGATAAACTGTAAATTTTGTTGTTTTTGACGTTTCATTTTATTGTTTTTTTTCGTTGTCTATTTTTGTTGGTATATTTTTAGTTGGCAACGTGGCAAAAAGGGTTGTATTATTCAAATAAATTAATAAAATAATATATTGCATATAGTATAATTTGAATATAAATATTAACATACATTGTTTTTTTTTTGCATTAATTAAAAAAAATAAATAGTAATATTATCAAATAAATTATATTATTGTTGCTTCTGAATCCAGACACAATATGCGCTTTTAGAAGCTTTTAAGTGTGGCAAAAAACAACAAGTTGCTCGCTTAAAATTGCTAAAATGTACTCAAAACAACAACACTACTCTCTCTATCGAAGCACCTAGTTGTGAATTGGCCAAACATTAGCAACTACAGAAAAAAAAATTACCAAACAATAAGTTACTATTGTGAACCTTTTTTGGAATTTTAAAGCATATTCCAGATATATGTCAAAAGGTTGTGAACAAAAATTTAAAAATATTTTAAAAAGAATAAATATTTTAAATATACATATAAATATGTACAAAAATTTTTAAGAGTACGTAAAGAAAGTATAATTGAAAAACAGTTTTTTTAAAATTTTTAACTTATTGGCTGTTAACAAGTTAATACTTATACAAGCATAAGTATTCTAAACTATTATTAATTTAGTTGCAAAAGATAATTTTAAAATTTAATCAGAATTAGAAAAGCATTCTGAAAATTTTTTTAGTTCATTATTCGTTTATTATTTATAACAAATATGTTATGTTTTATAAAAGATAACATTTGACAGATTGCAACAGTGATGCCAATATCTCGCTTAGCGCCTATCGTAAGCAACTTGCTGTTTTTTGCCACACTTAAAATTAAACAGCTTAATGTTCTCGTTACTCGTTAGGTTAGATTAAATCTCTTATCATCTTCGCTCAACGCCTTCTCTTTCATTATTATATTATTATCCCGCTCTATCATCAATCCTTACCTTTTTTCATCAATTCTCTGAGTTGAATAAATCGTAGAATTAAACCTACTTAACGGTGACTTATTTCTTCATCTGATAAAAGATTTACACTTAAATACCGTTTATCAACATTAATATCGCTACAATAGTTTAATCCAGAAATTAATCCTTAAGTTGAAGTAATCGATTTGATTGCTTTTTTTATTTTAGTAAGCAGCTGTTTTGGGAAAAAAATATGGACTTGAATTGTTCAATTAAATTCAAGCATATCTAGTTGTTGTAGCCAGAGAGAAACTATATAACATGTTTTTTATGTCTTAAAAGAAATTAAGACGTATGAATGCCTGGGTTAGGATATAGATTTAACAGGGAGTAAGTATGAATAAAAGTTGTTTAATAAGAAATTGATGTAGGTTGGATAGAATTTAATTGAAACCACTCTGAAACGAGGTGAAAAAACTACCGATTGTCACCTCAATGGATCATACGACCTCAAGTTGGAGGCACACATTCAAAATTGACGTATTTATGTGTGACAAATAACTATTCAGCATATAACTATACCCTGATCTTAAGGTGGTAGCAATATACTTGCGGCACAAGGAAGGTGTCATTCTTCGCTTAGAACATCAGGAGGAAGCCTGTTAAGAACTTTGTTTTTGTTGCAAAGTATCGTCTTCGTAGACTCGAAGACGATACTGCATCTATGTAGAGGGCTATTAGTTAACATTTATATTCGACTTCAATGACTTCCATCGCAATAGAAGTCGATCTTTTCATGATACGAAAAAAGTTATCGACGGATATGTTCTCCATGAAGGGGGAGTTTGAGTGATCATGTTCTCATTGGGATGTACATCTCTGTAGCACGCAAGTAGATATTATACAGTATTTGATTGTGCTCTTTAACTGAAAGCATTTTAGATTCTGCATAAAGGTGGTAAACAAGTAGTGGTTACGGGTCGAAAAATGCAGAGCTGCATATGGATATATTATTAATTGGCTGTTTTCAGCGTAGATGCTTTTAAAATAAGAAATATCTGATTAAAAAATCGACCTAAACACCTAATACCGTCCATAGAACCAATATTAGCATAAACAATATAAACATTTATCCTAAAATGAATTACTAATGGTGTGTATAGAGCATTACTTTAAAACAAAATTCGGTATTATGTTTGAAAAAATACTTTAATGTATATTTTAACTTAATAAAATTCTTAAAACAAATTTTAAAGTAAATTAATTACCAACTTATGTAAAGAAAACTACTTCTAAACTTAAGGAAATCGAATAATAAGGAGTATTTTTAAATTAAAGTTAAACTTTATCTGTAGCGTTTTACATTTTGCTTAACGATTTATCTAAAAATTAATAGCTGCTGTCTTAGAAGTAAAAAAAATACAAACTATACGCTTCTTCAATAAAGTACCAGAGCAGACAAAAAAAAATATATTCAATTAAATAAACGGTATTAATTTAAACCGATAAATTTACACTCAGCTGAGTGTAAAGCTGCGTAATACGTCTTATTTTAAATTAAATCGTAAAGTAAATTATTACTGATTTCTAGTCTTTGTCACATAAGTGACTTTTGACTGCTTACATTTCTCAGTGAAGAGAGACTGCACTGCTAGCTTGACAGAAAAAGCAGTCAAAAATGTAAAAATTTCGCAGACGTTAAAATCAATACGAAAACTTATTAAACGTAAACTAATTTATATAAAAAGTTTAGGCGATTATTTATAAAACGCTAATCTAATGCATATAACGAGTTGTGTCAGGCATTTATCAGTTTAAAAAAATACCACATTTATACTTAAAGTACCGCATGTAATAGAACCTAAGATTAATTAAAATTATAATTAAGTAACTACACTGTACTGCAAACTTACAAATGTGCTTAGCTAAAATATATCAATTACTTAACTTAATTTCTAGGTTCTAACTTATATTATTGTCTATTATTTACACCGTCAGCGCTGTTGCTATTACTGAAGGCGTGCTCCATATTCTTGACGACCACATAGTTTGTTATATGATTGATGGCTTCGTCTTGCATACGCTCCGGCCAACGTTTCATATACGATTTTATAAAATCTCCAAACGTATCTATTTTGTCTGGTGTATTTTTATGATTATCTACGATATTTTTAACAATATCCACAAACTTGTCATAATCATCGGTCGATTTTTTCACTTTATTATAATTTGGAACAACACCATTTGCTGCATTTCCAGTGTTTAATTGATCCATATTATCAGTTAAACGTGCTGATGCAGCAGCCACGGCGGCTGCAGCGGCAGTCGAAGCCATAAAATTAACTTCATTGCCTGTGTTGGGCGGTGGTTGTTGGGAGTGATCCATGAAATGTCTGTGCATTCCATATTCAGATCTGCTAAGCAAAAATAAATTAAAAATATATTTAGAATATGATTGCAATAAAGGAATAATAAAAGTGCTTACTTGTAAAACCCTTCGGAATTACTATTGTTAAACTCTTGTTGAGACATTTGATTTTTCCAAACTGGTGATTCTGCTGATGGTGGTAAGTTTGTTGGGTTTGATGCTGGTGTCATAATACGTTTATCTCTAAGAAAAAAAAAGAATAATGGTTAGATTCAATTAAATGATTAAATGGTAGCAACAATGAACTAAGAGCACATCCAAAATTATGGAGGTTTTCGATACTATGATAAAACAAATATTAGGAATAATTGATGAAAGCTAAAAATCTCTTATTAATGAAAGTTAAATATGAAATGAACAAAAGATTAACTGGAGAAAGTTGAAGACCTCTTACTAATTAGAAATTTCACATGGAACTAACAAAAGGACTCAATTATTGAGCATAATAAACTGACATAATATGCAAGAAATCTCCCTAACATTGAATCCAACAAAATCGAGAGAGAAAATTCATATGGATATCACGATCTGAATTGCGCATTTCTGCTTTGAAATTAAACTATAATCAAAATGTTATATCTATCTTAATTAAAATATAATAATGTATATGCAAGGAAAATATTTCATCTTCCACATTCTAGTATTAGTATTGAAGTTTATTTTCCAATTTATAAGCTCATTTAATAAAGTTACGGTTAGATTGGTATGATTGCTTTAACCACTTAAGTTCACTTGAGCACATATAATGGCCTCATACCATTGTCCGTTCGCCAAATCTGAAGGGACACCTTAAAGTTAGAAGTCTGAAGCATATAGCGCACAAACAACGTCTCTCTGATAAAGTGCGACTCCCCTATTCCAGCAAAAGAGAACCAATCTGACAGGTCAATAAAGTTTGCCTTGTTCCTAATTTTAAAGTAACAGTTCTGTCAGATCAATTAGATAAGGGACAACTATGATTTTTCTTCTTTTCTAGGAGAAGGTTCTCTCTAAATGAAGACTCTTCTCTACAGAGTTATAACCCTGATAAAAGTATTTGAAAAGTAGACTAAATTTTATTGCATCCATTTTTAATAATTGTCCAGTTGTTGTTGTAGCCCACAGGGATCTGCTTGTGTAACCACTTTAAGGATGTTATACAGCACTTAGTTGTCTTCGTCGAGTTGCTCCAGGACGTAGACCCAGCCGTTTTTGGAACCTGAAGTGTTCTGTCAGTACTGGCACCATATTTGGATCCGATTCAGTTGAAGCAATGGGCTGTTACGACTTTTATCTAAATTGGACCAGATAAGTGTAATAATCTGACAAAAATCTTTTATCTGCCTAGACCTCATCGTTTATTAAAACTACGACTTGGTACGTGCAGTCTCAAAAAATTATTGACGAATAATTAAATATAAGAAATAATGTCAAGATCAAGGTCCAAAGTCTGATGGGTATTTGATAATACTCGAAAAAGCTGTATGAACAGCTAAAAATAATATTAAAAGAATTTTTGTTGTTACATATCACTACTTTTCGAAACCTGTCTTAAAACCACGACTAAAATTTTATTTAATGAATATGTTCAATATTTTATATAGTAATCATATTGTATTCTATTAACTTACTTGTAGCCTTGATGCGCTGCCAAGCTTTTAAAAACATCATCTA